TTTTTTATCACCTAATGACGAGGATAATGTTGTTAATTTATTATTATTATTACTTTTTATTATTATTACTTACTATATAGTTTATTCATTAGCATAATCAAAATCCTCTTTGTTGTTTGGATATAGCCAAAACCCCAGTCGCTTAATCTGACTGAAATTTTCAGCTTTATTTGTGTCATTTATATCCATAGGTCTAATATCTACTTTATGTTCCTTTTTTGTTTGCTGTTCTTAGGCTTTGAACAGATTTTGATCAGCGAGTTTAACCATTAATTTACCATTCATACGGTATTTGTTTCTTTTGCGCGTTAAAAACCCACCTTAGTAGGATGAAAACAAACATTTGCTATGGATTGCATAAAGTAAGCCAACAGTGGGACGGATTATGAACTCCTGTCACGCACATGCCCAGCTGGCTGATCAGGACAAACACCAGAGCCATGTGAGACAGCAGTCAGAGAGCAGGAAATGCGATGTTACGTCTCTGCCACGTTTTCTGACGTCGGCGCGGCGGGGCGCGCACGTGTTAAACAAGCACATAGATGTGGAGAAAAGTTTGATGTCTGACTCCTGAACGCGCCTCTGCTCCCGAAAAACACACACAGGAAAGCGTTGAAGAGGCGGAAGCTGCGGAGCGGAAGTTACTTGTGGCATTACCTAAGTGTACGTTTATTGGATACGAGGAAGTAGAGCGTGTTGCTATTGGCTTAGTGAAAACCAAAACAAACACGAAAGTCCCGCCTGCAGCCTGAGAAACAACGTGAGAGTCCAAAGCTCAAAGCGCAATGCTCCGCCTACCCCTCTCTCCTCGCGAGAGCCATCTTTGATTGGACAGCCCACGGACCGTGGCTGGAAAACTCTGGAGGCTGGACCGCACTGCGTTCAAAAATTGAATTCTGCTGCCACACTAAGGATAAAGAGTGTATTACAGCTTGTTTTAGAGAATAAAAAAGGTTTCAATCAGCATGTTCTAGAATGTCAAATAAACTAGAGAATGAGTTTTGAAAGCGCAGACATTTCAACGCGTTTCTATTTTACTATCAGCTTTTAATTTACAAAGTGGGAGGTAATGATAAAAACAAAACAAGCAATGGACAACAGTCACTGTTAGTGTTTTCTTTAAATAAAAAAATAAATAACACTGGACAATTTGACATGCTTAGATTGTAGAAACTGTGTTGTACACGATGCACAATATCACTCCACGCGCTGTCAGCCGTGAATGAGCTCTGCATTCAGGGCCGGCTCTTTGCGTTGCTCTTTACATTGACCTTCGCTGTCTCTGAGCGTAATGGAGGACAGGCCTGCAACCTTCACTTAGCCTGCAGTGCAGCTTTCAAGCTTGATAGCGTGATTTTGGAAGATAATCTTGTAATACAGCACAAAGACCCCAAGCGGACATAAGCTTACCCAAGACCGTGACAGCGGTCAAATAGAAGCACTTGACCGAGATTATATGAAAGCCTCCTCCATGCCCCAGTCGGCGCCTCAGTCTTTATAGGCAGAGCGGGTTTCCTGTCCGGATATCAGATCATCTCATTTGGTTTCAAGTATAAATGCCCCAGAATTTACTGTCTTCATTCACGAAGGGTATACAGACTAGATTTAAAAAGGCAAGTATGCGTCATGGACGCATACTTGCTAGCCACTAGCCACTCGTTTGTAGGTTTGCGAACACCCCCAGCACAAAATGTTCATTTTAAATGGTTGTCAATAATAACAAAGATCATTATACATAATATGTCGAATCAATTGTGTGATCAGTTGATCTGTGATAACTTGAATTCTTATTATGTGGGCAAGTCGAAAATACTCCACGGAAACGAAGGACATACATGTTGTTGTTGTTATTGTTGTTGTTTTTTAGAACCTGCTGTCCTTCTCTTATATAAATAGCAAATTCACAGAATCATCTCACCTGATTTAGAAGATTCACTTATAATAAGTGAAGCAAATTTCGGGAGTTTCACATTTGTTTGTGAAACCACGTAAAGAAAAAAAAGAATTAAAATCCACTTGACAGTTCAAAGTATAATCCGTTATTTCACGATGATTTGGTAACCATGAGGGCCATTTATATTTGTGAACGAAAGTAGAATATTTGAAGTCGCCCATTATTATTTGAGCTTAGATTCAGCAATTAAACAAAAGAAAAAAGAAAAGAAAAGAAAAGAAAAGAAAAGAAAAGAAAAGAAAAGAAAAGAAAAGAAAAAGAAAAAAGAAAAAAGAAAAAAGCAAGAAACTCGGCGTTGCGTCCGCAAGATGTCAACATCTTGA